TGCCTATGCTGGAAGCTAGCCAACCAAAACACACCCACTAAGTTTTAGTAAAGGGACAACAGTTCCCTTACATAAGGATGAGAGAACTGGAAATCCACCAAAGCTATGAACACACATCCAACTGCCTTCAAAAGCATATGCCTCAGGAAAATACTAGGAATGAAATTGAATGATTTTATAACAAATGTCAAGATTCACCAGAGCGTTCAACAACTTGTCTTCAGAGTTATCCTGAAAAGAAGATGGAAATATCTGGGACGTGTTAGGAATGAAGCCAGAGTGTCTGCCATAGCAGGCTTGCCACTGGCAGCTGGAGAAACATGTAAAAGGGGCTGACCAAAATAATCCTTCTAGGAAACAGTACTTAGAGGGGGGGAAACTTATGGGATTCTGCATGTCCTCTGTTAAGAACAGCCCAGGATAGACAGGGATGGTGCAGCCTTGTTCGTGCCCTGCGCAACGTTTGACAGCATGGGAAGGATTCAAATTGTCTGTATGTCTGATTATCAGTGGAGAATGGCTAACATGAGGAACAGACATGTAAGGGAAGATCATGGCCACTTTGTGCAGTGGGTGGCTCCTTTAACATTCTTACCCCTGCTGACTGATGTGCTGTCAGGTAGTGAAATGGTTGCCTCCTACTGAAATAGACACGTGACTACCAGAGCATAGATTCTCTGTAGTTCCCCCAATGCCATTCTCCGACCTAAACTCAACCAAGCTCAATGTGGTTACCGGCTCTTCTCTGGAAAAGGGACAGAGTATATTGGAGGAGATGTAAAATCAGGGTTACAACCCATTGTGGTTATTAGAAATCCCACAGAACTTTTTCTAAAACAAGTGTGCTAACCTCACCCCCAGCCTGGCCTATCAGTCCCATGAGCCAATGGCTCAGAGAAACTTTGTCTTTGACAGCCAGGCCCAACCCCAACATGGATAATTATTTGGCGCTTGCAAGAGCTGGTCAAAAAATGAAGAAAAATTTTCATTGAAATTTAAAATTTTCCAAAAGTTTTGATCAGTCTGTGAATTTAATGAAAAATAGCAAAACGTACAGACATCTTACAAAGCTTTAATTGAAATCTTGAAAATTTTCATCCTGCTGTAGTGGCTACCTAAATTGCTCCACTAATTTCAACTTGAGTGATTGATTCACTTCCTATCTTAAACTGTTGTACGCTACCAGCTGCTGCATTCAACCTCAGAGGCGGCTGCATTTCCCTGGTGAGTAAAATTATACCTTTTCTATAGTTCTTAAGGCATGTGGAGATGGAAGGTGAAGTATAAATGCAAGACATTAATGACCCCCAGAGGAACAGAGATTTTGCTTCCAAGAATAAATTAGCTCTGCAGCAGTGGAGTTCAGGAGGGTAGCAAATCATTAACTTTTTTATTCTTAATGTTCACCAGTAGCCCATGGTCCAAATTCAGAACTAGACAATGTGATGCAATGCCATTCATACTAATGGAATTACAACCACTTACACCAGGTCTGAATTTAGTTCCATAGCTTTAAATACTGTCCTGTTTAAATAAAAAAAAAAAAAAAAAGTCACCACGTTTCCGGTATAACTATATAACCATATAGAATGCTTCAAAAATAACATCAAAATAGTGTGCTTTCTGCTAGTTTATATAAAGATTTATCGAACTACGCTTTTTGTGGTTGACATTTATGTACGTTCCCTCAGCAATTAATTAGTTTTTCTTTCTGACAATAGACAGGCCCTGGTTTTCAAATCAGCATGGGGGCGGTGGAGAGGGAAACCATTTCTCTGCATACTTGAATTTGCCAATCAGTGGTCCTAACAGTTGTCATTTCCAGCTAGTCCATGCATTTGAGTATTAAATAGCCTCCTCTAGCTATGTTCAATTGACATTTTTACACCCTTTTGTTTGCCCAATTACACTCTACCCCCCTTAAAAGGTAGCGAGTCTAGAAAAATTAAAAATCTCTAAGCAAAACACTCCAGCCTCTTCATTATCTGATCTCTCTTTACCTACTATGGAGCAAGCCTGTGGTGAGAGAAGAAGGACCAAAAGGCATCCAAGGTCACAAGTGTTTCAGGGCTCGCTTCCCCCTCCCGCCCCCCCAGGAGCTTTCAGCAAACCAAAGCATAGCAAACAATTTTCTAAATATTATTTGCATATGAACAATGCTCAGGCCTGCGTTTGTTAAATGTATTGGTTGTACATGTACAAAGTAAGCAGTGCTGAACAATTGCCTGTCACATCAGCCACGCCACTTGTAATTTTTTTTTATCATTTTAGCAGAAGCAAAATAAATTGGTATCAACATCTGTTTGTATAAGTCTGCTGTGAAATGAAATGGCTGATGGGAGGCAGGGACGTTCCTTTTCACTGTAAATAAGGACAGAAATGTTCTTTCAGAATTACTTTATACAAAGCACATGCTTAGGCTACAGATATGTTCATCCCCTGGAGCACAAGAATCAAAACAGAGTTAAGGTGCTTGTCTGCACGAGTTTCTGTTTAGAAAACTTACACTATGGTTCTGTTTTCCAAATAGGAGTCAGGACTGGTTGAATTTTTCGTGAAAGGCATCTGCTTGAATGAGATCAGAGACTGAACTATTAATGCTTCTCTACAACTTTTCCCTATAGACTAGGGTCAGTCTGGAGGCACGTTGGTTGCATTGTCACTATCAGTGCTGTACATAGATTTGTCCAGATTTGTCCTGGTTACAGTTTTCACACCTCTCTGGAGTGCATGACCCCTCCATTATTAGGTCTCTTGCCTTTACCTGGCCTGGGGTGGAATCCTGCGATTCTCCCTCTCTTAGATGAGCCTCAGGCTACCACTTTATACCAACCATGAATACTCAGAAAGCCTGTGTGTGCTCAGCCTCTGAAAAGCTTCCCTTCAGTAGCAGTGACCAGTGGTTAATATAGTGACCAGAAAGATTTCTTAAAATAGAGTATTGTTTAATCTTAACAGTAAGAGCACAGCACTGCATAAGAGAAAAAGGATTTAAAAACAATAAAAGGCCTAGATGCTGTTCTGTCTTACCTAAAGTTTACCATCTCCCTGGCAGTTAGGAAGGCTCATCTCCTTTAAATCCATCCCATGCTGTCTGTGTCAGTGTGTTTCCCTGCAAATAGGTCCTACAACTCTCTACTCACTCTCTCCAGAGAGTCACTTTTTAACTGTTTCTCTCCTTTTGATCTGTCTGTTCCCAGCCTAGGCAAAACAGCTTGTAACTTTTTGGCTGCTGCCTGTAAGTAGTGTGTTCACAGCTTAATAGCATAGGCTTTATTTCTAAAACTCAGCCCTGTTGACCTGGAGGGGTTTTATCTAGGCCCATTGTGTTACCTTCCTGCTATTAAACTAACACCCATATGCATACAGTAAGTATTTTAATCATGTCCATCACACTGACACCTCCTGTGAGCACCACTCAAACATAATAATTGATATAAAACTGCTATTTTAATGAAGAAGAAAGGATGGGAAAACAATGAAGGCTGAAGAAAACGCTAACCTACTCTTCCCCTTCTGTGCTAAGGGAAACATGATAATAGAACTGCAAGGACTGTAAGTGGAGGGGAGAAATGAGGCTGTGTGAAATATGCCAATACTTGCCTATTAACTATGTCTGTTAAAGTATGTAACTGAAGCAATTTAGAAGGTTAAAATATCATCACAGCAATAAGTGGCTGTATTATTCAGATGCTTTTCAAGACTTTGGACTAAGACTTAGCAAAATAGCTGGTAAAGCAAACAGTCATAAAGCTGAGGTCAGAAAAGCGATAATAGACTGAATCAAAAGAAAAAGCTGCTCCTTTTTCCCAAGGTGGTCCAATGTACTAGGAGGATGACAGGTGACTCATGGAAAAAGAGTCTCATGGGGGAATAAAATGTTCCACATTTACTTTATCACTGTGCAATGGTTTATTTACACAGATAGAACTGCTGAGTTCTAGTGCACAAGATTTATAAATTAACACAATGGAACAAAACATTTTTCATAAGTAAGGTAACAGAAAACATTTTAAAGTTTCCAGAACAGATCACGTAAATGTACAAATTGGCATACATTTGACTTGCATTTATGATACAATCTTTGACATTGGTCAGTATTTAATTTAGAATAAATTATTTTTTAAGAACTATGTTTTTGAAACTATCTACAATACACAAATCTAAAGTGGTGCAATTTACAAACAGGAGGGGCTAAATAGGCACTATTCAGATCAAGAATCCATTAAGGTTTTGCTAAGTTTTCGCTTTTACGCCAAGTCAGTGCTAGGGTTCAGTTTCAATACATCAAAATTCTGCAAGCTGTTCTTTGGTGATCTCATTCATAAATGACGGAAGTCTCACAAGATCACGTCTTGTGAGTTTCTGCCATCTTGGGTTGAAATCTTAACTGCATTTAAACCAGAACTAGAAAATCAGCCACTTCCAGTTCTGAATATGATCTAGAACCAAAATTGTAAGGGCAGGTTTGGACACGGAAATTTGAATCTGAAACCTAGCACTTTTAAACTACACATCTCTTTACACTGCTAATTCAGCTGCAGGTTTTTGTTTTGTTTAAATTGTATTAGGATGTTTCTATCTCCAGACCCTATCTTCAAAATTCCAAGGGGTTTGGGACCATTTCTAACAATTAACAAAGACTTTATTTTTGACTCCTAAAACTACAATTAGTATTCCCCTTCTTTTTTCTCACACAGTAAAAAAAAAAAAATTAGAAACATGTCAGTTGATGTCTGAAGTAAATTTTTACAGAAACATTCCTGAGCACTTTTTGGTGTTCAATCAGTACTGTTCCCAAACTTAGTTATGTACAATTCTTACGGTCGCCCATAATGTTATAATCAGATTTTCTCCTAATATTTTATTAGGAATTACTACACAGAATCTGTTTTTCAGTAAAGTAACTTCAAAAGTACAAACATTGTTTTAACACTATATTAACACATCTGCAGGTTTTTCCGCTCAGTTGTCAGCGGGCTAGCACTCTTCATTTGATGTCAGCATTCATATATGATATGTTTTGCCAGTTCGCTCAATTTCATCTTCTTTTTAAACATTTCCTCAAACATTTTGTTTTCTTTTGGAGTGAAGTGGTTTTTCCAGTCACCAACAGCACCTGGGAGAGTGAGAATGGGAAATGAACAGCTGAGGCTGCTTTGCCATTGGATGGAGAATGATTTACGGTGTGCTCTTAAACAGTCTGGCTTTGTTAGTGCAAAAGTTTGCCCACATTGTTTTATTATTATTATTTTGCTCCCTTGTCTTAGCATAAAGGTCATGTAAATGAGTAACACTTAGGGTTCAGGTGAGGTTCCTGGTGGAAAGAGGCTGGCTTATCAGCTGCCATATCATAATAACCATTATATCTTCAGACTACTTTATCTTGCTCTAGCTACCTAATTTCCAGTTTAAAGTCACATGACTACAAAATTCTTTTTTTCTCTGGGCCATCTTCCACATTTCCATGCATACCTATAGTGCAGTGGAAATTGTAAATAATAATCTCAAAGGACTGTCTGAATAGGAGTAGAAGAGAAGCTGGATCAGTAGTCAGCATTGCCAGCTCTCATAATATCTGTGTTTTTCTAAATGCCACAGTTTCTGGAGGCATGCAATATGGGAGGATCTCAGCTTTCATTTAAAACAAACAACCCTACATTTCTAGCCTTCAAGATTGCAGAGCAAAGCTTGAAAATGTGATTCAGGCATCTCTTAAAGCCTCAGAACACCACAGAAGACCATTATAAAGAATCCAAAATGTACTTTTTTTTTTTTTTTTTTTTTTAAATCTCATTAATTTTAAGCCACTCTTTTGATTCTTCAGGGGCCTGACTCATGATTTTTGAATGCTCAGGGTTGGCAGTGCTGAGTGGAGGAACTGGAAGAACATATTACTGGCAATGTAACACACTTAACTACTTTTTGCCCCATAGAAGCCACACATACATACATCACCAGCTGAAAGACACCGACCTCTGACTAGACAATAGCAAAACAGTTCTGTGCTCTTGGTGGGAATCAGAGCTCCTGGTCATCTAGCCTGCTCATACTCCTCCAGAGCCTTATGCTGAGTGAAACCACCCCCACCCACCTGGGCAGTAAACTGACTTCTGCTCTGTGGAAAGACCTGGCAGAGCAGCCCCCTTGAGGCACCTCAGCTTCCCAGCTGGTTGGAAGTTTACAAAAAATTGAGATTTTGACCAAGTCCTCACCCATGCACCCATCTGTAGGGTGACCAGATGTCCCGTTTTTAGAGGGACAGTCCCGTTTTTGGGGACTTTTTCTTATATAGGCGCCTATTACCTGCCTCTCTCTGTCCCGTTTTTTCACAGTTGCTATCTGGTCACCCTACCCATCTGCAAAGCGTTCACAATTTTCTCTATCTTCCCACCCATGCACCCATTTTTTGACTAGTTGTATTAGGCCTCAATCCTGCAATGAGCTCCATGTAGACAGACTGAGGTAATGAACACGGAGCTCATTGCAGGATTGTATTCTTTGCCCTCTTTGTTTGCATGTGTCTTTCACACAAAAACAGGGAGGAGAAAAATAGTTGTAAAAGCAAGAAAACACAACTATAAACTCACAAAAATTGGCCAACAGATTCAGGGGAGGTATAGTATCTGGAACTTTTAAGTTAAGCTAGTCAGGAAATTTGTAATGAATTTTTTTTTTTATTTCATTCATTTCTAGTTCAAAATGACTTTGTTTTGTAAGGTAAGTAAATTATAGTACAAAAAATAAAAACAAAGTTGTCAAAATTGTTTTGTCCCCCCTCCCCACCCAGATTTCCAGTTTGCAAAAGACTTTGAGATTTTGAATTTTTGTCTGGATTGAGGATGGGGGAAAAATTCCAAAATCTCAACAATTTTTACAGGACAAGAAAAGTTTCTCACCCAGCTGTACTTTTGTTTAAAACAACTAGGGGTAACATTTTCAGGAGTGCTCAAATGTTACTTAAGTCACTTAAGTGCTTTTGAAAATTTCACCCTAGATTTAGAATTGTATGAGGATTAAGGTAATTCATCTCTTTACACTATCAATAGATTCCCAATCATCCATTTTTATTGTCAGCATATTCCTTTAGCATATCCACTTCAATAAGACAACAGGTAATATATAAGATAAACACTAATGCAACCACTCTCAAAAGGAATGTGTTGGTGTGGTTCCTGATAAACTGAGTGACCTTGCCATGCAGTAATGAGGGTACACATTAGTGTTTGTGAAGGACAGAGGTAGAGAAATATAGATAAAGAAAGAGACAGTTAAGCCGCAAGAATCTTTCCTTTCAGTTCTAAATACTCATGTAAAACTATATTAGACTTGTAATTTAGACGCTTCCCTGTATCTAGTGTGACCAGTCATTCCCAATCAAAGAAACTGGAAAGAAAGCACACTAGAAATGGATTCAAGAAGAATTCCTTCGTCACTCTGTGGGCATGATCCAAAGCTTAAAAAGTCATTGGAAATACTCCTACTGTCCTCAATGAGATTTGGATCAGGCCATATATGAATTTTGTTGGGCCAGTTCCAACCAACGTACCTTTTCGGAATATCAGCTTCCTATTGGATGTGAGTGCACAAACGGTGTGATTTGGGTCACTGTTTTCTTTTTCTACGTTGCTTTTCATCTCAGTGAATGACGACTTCTCACAAATCTCTTTGATTTCACGGTCACTGATGTTTACTCCCAGAAATACACTCATTTTCTTCACAACCTTAGGAAGATCCTGAGATATTTGAAGAGTAAAGTATTTGTTTTCTAAGCAGAATATCAGACTTTATTTCTAAATCAAATAAACAACAAAGATTTTTCTTTCCAAAAGACACTGTTCAAGCAAAACTGTCACACTGGTGTGTACACGTGGTATCTATATGGTAGGCCTGATTCATCTCTCACTTGCACCCATGTAAATCAGGAGTAATTCTATTGAAGTCACTGGAGTTACACGTATGCAAATGATACAAGTGAGAAGATAATCAGGCTCAATGTGTGTACATTCTTATTTAAATGTATTGAAAAAAATTGCATAGCCAATTTTGGTATCAGTTCAGCAAGGCAGTCAAGTATTTCTCTAACTTACAGCAGGAGTAGTTCTCGTTGCCTTCAAGAGGAATATTAATGAGCGGAAAGTTAAGCATATCATAGAATCTCAGGGTTGGAAGGGACCTCAGGAAGTCATCTAGTCTAACCCCCTGCTCAAAGCAGGACCAATCCCCAATTTTTGTCCCAGATCCCTAAATGGCCCCCTCAAGGATTAAACTCACAACCCTGGGTTTAGAAGGCCAATGCTCAAACCACTGAGCTACCCCCTCCTTAAGTAGCTAGCTGACCTGGGGTCTGTAGGTGAAATTTTCAGAAGATCTTAAGTGGCTTAGGAGCTAGAATGGACTGGGTTTCTATTTCTTCTCCTCTCCCCCAGAAAAATATTGCCAAAGATGAAAAAATACATTTTTATAGAAATTTTCAGTGGAAAATTGGGACTTTTCATCAAAATATCCCAAACCTGACAACCAAAGTTTGTTGTCTTGGGCGGGGGGTTATTTTTTAATTCAAAGCTGGAAATTCTTGAGGAGAACAGACATTTCCCACAACATTTTTTTTTTGTCAAAAACCCAATTTTCTGGTGTAAAAAATAGTTACAATGGAAAATTTTTTACCAGCCTTGTTAGGAGTTCAAGTTCCATAGGCTCTAAATGGGACATACGCTCCTAAATCCCTTCAGCTCTTTTGAAAATTCTGCTCTGTATTACTAGAAACAGACAAAAGATTCTGGTACAAGAGAAGTTTTTCACAGCTTGGCAGTGTGATCTAGCTGTCTGTGCACAGGAATAACAGGTAGGGACTTCTGAATGTTAGTCCTGGTTCTAACACTGATTCGTGCTGTGGCTTTGTGCAAGTTAATCACTCTGTACCTCAGTTTCTCCATATGTGAAATTAGGATTTACTGCCTACCTAATATGTTATGAAAATTAAGAGGCTAATATTTGTGTAACCTTTTCAAGATGAAAAGTGCAATACAAATACTAAGTATGTCTGTGTTATGAACTTGTTCTGCCTTGTACCTCTTTCATTTTAATTTGCTCTTTAAATTCCAGTGACGCAATTTTACAACAGCTTTGTTTTGTTTTGTTTTGCTGCATGAGATGGGAAATATGTTTACCTTCTTCATGTCTTCATAGAATAAAAATAAGATGTTTCGGTCATTTTTATGCTCTTCCCAGCTTAAGAAATGATCAAACCAGGATCCACAGACAACTGTGAGGAAAACAAAATGGGATTTATATAAACTTCATTGACAAATAATTCTAAATATATAACATACACTAAAAGAAATGTTCTCTTCCTGCCGTGCAGTGAGAGTGGGCTATATACCCCTGACTGGTTCAATTTCTTCTGTTTACTGGATCAAACCGAATGCAAAAAGTTGTTCAACTTCTTTTTTTGCATGTGCTTCTGGTTATGGAATTCTGGTGTTCTTTTGAGAAATGCATTTGAAGCTGAACATTGAATCCGAACGCAAGGAAATGTGAGTTGTCCCACTGAAATCTATGGCATTATACACTTACAAAAGCATGTGAATAAGCGTTTGCAGTATTAGTGCCATCATTTGGGAAGACAGTAATCACTTCACCACAAAATGCAGCCACCTCTGGAGTGAAACACAGTAGCTGTTAATAAGTGCACAGCAATGTTTTAAAAATTTTAGGAGAGGAAGTGAAGAATACCTTATCAATTTAAACTATCAGGGGAAACTGAGGTAGAGTGGATATTCGCCCCCAAACTGGTACTTAGCCACTGCCGTTATAAAGTCATATTTTATAATGAGTCTCATGATATTTGCTGTGTTTCTTAAATTGCACCACCACTTTTTGAAATCAAGAGATTGCAGGAGAACCTCAGTTTTCACTTAAAAAAAAAAGTTTCTGGCCTTTCTGTTTGTAAAGAGAAGATTGAAAATGTTGAGTGAGATCATCCTAAAGGGTTCAGAAACCAGATGGCAAAAAAGAAGAACCCAACATTTATTATTTTTTAAAAAATCTTCTGATTTTTAAACCAATCTCTTGATTTTTGAGGGGCCAAACTCATGATGTTTGCGCCCGTGGGGTTGGCAATACTGCAATCCCCACTCCCTTTGGTGTGTCGAATGCTGGTGGTGGTGCTGAGTGAAGTTCTATGGCCCGTGTAAAGCAGGAGGTTAGACTAATGAACATATTGTTCCCTTCTGACCTTAAAGATCTGTGAACTGTTACTCCCGTGGGGCTTGTGATCAGCGGGTACAATTTTGCTTCCATTAATAAGTGGCCAAATTAGCTTCAGTAGTGCAGGACCCAGCCTAGGGGGCACAAGCAACAAAACTGTGGCTGACCCCTGTGTATGTGCAGCAGGACAGGGAAAGGACTCCCTTTGCCTTCACCCTTGTCCTGAAGTCAGTGGGACTCTGCACAGGTGCCAGAAGATCCCTTAGCATGTATCTGTAGAAAAACCGATTTGTGATTGAACTAATGTTGTTTTTATCCCCGCTCCAGGAACACACACGAAGTACTACAAGCCAATAGTCCACGCTATCGACAAGTGATGGGCTACATTGATTTTTTTTAAATGATCCTTTTTCTTCCGTCAGCATTAGGTGCTCAAAACAGATAGTGATAAGGCCCCTGCAAATCACTTACGCATGTTCCCTACCCTGCTTTTGCTGGGTAGGGAACACAGGAAAGCCTGCTGATGTCAATGGAAAACTACTGACTTCAGTGAGCTTTGGATCAGGCCCCAAATGGAGTAGCATTTTGTGTTTCTTTTGAACTTCCTACAGCTGTTTGTTGCTGTATTGATTCTTGTGTAGCATGTGTCCAGCAGAAACAAACTGGTATAAATGAGCAATAAAACATTGAAAATGGGGATGGATAATGGGAACACCACCACCAGCACAATCTTAACTTCCACATCAGAATCAAAACGGCTACTCATAAAGGACTCATCCATGTCCTTGGGGTTTGGAACTGGCAGCTCAAGATAACTCGCCCTGTCACAGGGCAGAGTAGAGTCGGGGGGGGGGGTGCTGGAGACTTCAATAGGTCAAGGCTTACAAATAAAACCTTTGTTTGGATCCAGCCATGCAAAACTATCTACCGGTGTGGGCTGGCAGTGTGGGTTGAAATCAGGATTTGAATTTTGCTGTTTGAACCCATCTCTGGCACAAACATTCCAAAAAGGAGCATCCACATTTATAAAGGGCCCCAGGGAAAAAATACAGGTCATGAATGCAAAATAATTAAAAATACAGTGATAAATGAAAAACAAAGATAAAATAATTTGTAATGAATAAACAGGCTTGATACTTATAGGGCTCAGAATTACATTCACCTTGCTTCATCCAGCTCAATAAAGGGAAATGTGCTTTATATGCTCTCCAATATGTCAGTTTAAACACTCGATTCCTTTCTGGTGTGCTCTCAGACACTAGGGAAAACTCTGCTGAGCATGCTCAGAAGAATACCCACCACTTTAAAAAGGGAGCTTATAAGCACTTTTTCTCCTTTCTCATGTTTAAAATGGAGGATCCTGTTGCAAATTACCTTATAAGCTGATTTCAAGTCAAGGGGACATCAATATCTTCGGGTAAACTGTTGTGTGATAGACCCTTTCTTTGCCATTTGGTGAAAAAACACTAGATTAACTGTCTCTCCAGATTTTTTTTTTTTAATCTTAAACCTAAAGGGGAAGCTGGATATCCAAGCTCAGCTGTGGCTCGTTAAAGTGGCTGGTCTTCCGGGGGTTGCAAAAACTGGGATAAAATATTTTTCTGTCAAATCAACAGGGACATCCCTGTTTAGGGGGGACATGTAGCTCCCTATGTTTTTGTAAAAGCTGGGATAGTGTTAATTTGCTTTAATGTAGAGTGGGGATAAGAATCAGCAGGTCAGTTTTATTTTGTTTGTTTGTTTTTGTGGATGGAACAAGGATCAGTAACTTGTTTGGGAAAGGGTTGATGGCAAAATGTTTTTCTGGCATGGGGGGAAAAATGCTAATGCCAGTTCTGATAGTTTCTGGCCTGTGGCCTGTTAGCTTGTCTGTACGGAGTGCTGACGTGGAGGATCGTGCTGTTTGTACTTGTTGAACTTTGATGGCAGAATTCATCCTGAAAATAATCTAAGGCCCTGCTTCTGCATAGTGGCAGCTTGCTGGGCCCGTGAGCAGACCCACTGAAGTCAGTGGGAATCATAAAAGCGCAGCAATCAACCCACTATCCAAGACTGGTGCCTAAACAAAGCTTCGCTGACTAAACCATTTACTGTTGTCCAGAAGTACATGATGTTTCTGATGTTGCAATAAGGCCATTAACCAATAGTGCCATTAAAGAGGAACACATATCTCTGTCAGTAATTAAATTTAAGGGGGAACATGTGGTGTTTCCTATTCCAACTACAGAAAATACTGTAAATACCACACTGAAGGGATAGTAACTACTGTGGTTAAGTAAATGAATTGTTTTCTTTGATCTCGTTTGTACAAAATGTACCGCTGATGTAAAGTTACATGGATGATTTGTAAAAAGGGGGGAAAATGCCCTATAAATAAGGAATTTTCACACTTATTTACATTTCTCACCTCTTGCCATGTGTTATAAGTTTGCAGGCTAGAGAGAGAGAGAAAAGATAACTCATCCTTACCATCTCCCCTTAAGAACAGCTCGAGGAAAACAGTCCATGAATCTATGGTGGGGAGATTTGGGTTATCTCTGTAGTAGTGATACATGGAAACTGCAGTATCTTTTGGATTTCTGATGATGTAGAAGGCCTGTAAAAGAAGACACTATGATTACTAAGGATAACTTTCTTCTTTTAAAGGATCCACTTGCATAGGTGTGAGGTTTTTTTACATGCCTTTTAGCTAACGTCAGCCCCCATGTGGTTATGGGTCAGGGTTCTTTTACTGATCATCTTCCAGCCAACAGTCAAATATCCTTTATAGTTAAAACAGCATTAAGGTAGAGGAGGGTATTTGTGGGGAAAAATCACTAATTGATGGATTAACAGGCAGTAATGAACCAGTGACAGAAGCTGGAAGTATATGTGCCTCCGCTAATACAGTATTAGTGGTTGGCTCACAATTGCATATGGGTTTCCTATACGTGTGTGGACTGGAATATATGCAAGAGATGGCTTTCATATTAGTTCATGAGTTAATATATGATCTCAATAAATCCCCTGAGTAAAACATTTACTACTTGTCATTCTCATGTAAGCTGCATATGATCTGTTCCATGAGAATGGTTCCAACTAGAACTGGACCTGAACCAAAAGCCTGCATCTGAATAGCCATGAAGTTTGCGTATTTGAAATCAAAACTTGGATGCAGAGCTGAATTTTTCCAGTAGCCTCCAATATTGCTATGGGGAAAAGCAAAAACTGTGGGTGCGTGTGTGAGAGATCTATCAATTGGATCTGTGGCTGAAACATTAGTTTTAGCTCTTACTTAAGTATGTGCCTTTGGTTTGTATAATTGATATCATTGCCTATAACATTCTTTTGCAAACAATCTATACATGTCTGAAATTCCACAGTCCTACCAAGCACTTCATCCTAAAGAACATTCCTGACGAATCATAAACATTACAGTCAACTTCATATTTCTGAGAGCAGGGAAAAACTATGAATCTTGAGTAGAAATAAAACTCCAGTGTTTTGCAATACACTAGCTTCAAGAAGATAATTGGAGGCATAGGTTAATGAAACATATTAGCAGATAAGCATGAGCAATGAGTGATGAAACACTGTTAGATTAATTTTAAAGTGACTCATTAAAAGAAGTGTGATTGTGATAGTAGGGTAGTCGTTGCATGGCTTTCTTTCACGTGCATGTATCCCTTACACTTAATTATGTAATTCTAGCTCCATTGATCATTGCACTGAACAAAAATGGTATACATTGTAAGGCATTTCACTCTTGGTATATATTTGTGCCTTTCCATGTCTAAAACTGAGCCACCAATTAGATGTATGCAGTGTAGTCATGGCCGTGTGGGTCCCAGGATATTAGACACAAGGTAGATGAGGTAATATCTTTTATTGGACTAACTTCTGTTGGTTAGAGGCAAGCTTTTGAGCCACACAGAGCTCATCTTCAGGCTCAAAAACTTGTCTCTCTCACCAACAGAAGTTTGTGCAATAAAATATATTACCTCACCCACCTTGTCCCACAAAGTAGATGTCCTTCTATGATAAAGTCTCATCTGCAAACCCAGAAATTTAAGTTCAGGTTAAGGGGCATATATTGCCCCCATCTGGATATGCAGCATCCATTGATGTCACTGGGAGTTGAGCACATGGTTTAAAGGCAGAATGTAGGTCTAAGTATACTTAAAGATTAAGAAACTTTTAATTACATGTAGTTAAACTGTTTGCTACTAATGTTATTTGAGGATGCTCAGGCTCCTGTATGTTTTGTCTTTTAAATCAAGTTATTTGTAGCTGATGCTCAAAGACATCTAAGTGCATTTCCATTGTAGTATATAAGGAAATTTGGCACTTTGATAACTGTGGCCATTTCAAATCTAGTCTCACAAATGTCTGAAATATTGTAGTCTGAAGACTGTTTTACAGGACAACTGATGTCAGGCAGGTTGTAATGCAAGTCGGGGAGGCATGCTTCAGACCTTTCATTGTTTAATTTACATCTTGAACTAGATCCGTGTTGCAGGTCTGATGGCAAGATGTTGGCCCTATGTTATCTTGTTATATTTTAAAAGATGACAATGCTAAAATAGTACCTGTTTACTGACATGCTTTTTTGGAATAAATCTAATTCTGATGGAGCAAGTAGAGATTAGTTATTGGCTTTTAATTAATTGCTGGGAAGTCACTTCCATCATTCATATCCAGTGCCTTTGCCATTATGAATCTGTATGATTCTATCATAGGTTATCTGCATCAGTGAAACTTATATATATGTTAATATGTTCTAGCTCAACCAACAAATAGTGATTTAAAAATTACTGCATGAAATTTTAACACCTGTGTCATGCAGGCGGTCAGACTAGATTATAATGAATATTGTAAACAAATCAGATTCAATAAATATTTTACACTATGAAGTTTTAAATAACACAGGGCCAACACCGGAATGCTACTCTGGTTAAATTAACCCACTGAAGCCAGAGAGTTATTCCAGATTTACACTGGTGTGGCTGAGAGCGGAATTCGCCACTTTAACTTGATACTGTAAGCACCATGTGTTTAAAAATGGCTACATCCAGACAAGATAAAATATATACTTAATTTGAGAGAGTTGTAATACAACTTATTTTACCTTGCATTGTTTGACCTTAAAATTTGACGGTAACATGTTGTAGTCCAAGTGCGTTGGGATGATTCTCTTGGATGAAAGATTGTTCAGTTCTTCCACTCTGGAGATGTCTCCAAACTCAATAGGTGATGTTAGGGTGACTTTGGGAGTGTAAATCTGCATTATAATTTGTGCAAGCCAGTGAGTGCCTTCAGACAATTATTTTTAAGGGGGAAAAAAGGGGGAGAGAGGAGAAAAGGATTTGTTACTAGAAAAATATACTGATACCGGAAAAGCTTGAGTTTGGAAGTAGCTCACTTGTTTGCAAACTAAAGCTCTGATCCTGCAACACTTAGGCACGTGAGAAATTTTATACCTATGAGCAGTTCTGTTGAGTCCACATGTGTAAATGCTTATAGAATTAGAGCTGTAGCTGATATATGAAATAATTCCACTAGGAAAAATGCCGAGTAACACTGATACTAAAACAAACCTTTTTAGAAAATGTGCATATTATTGAGATAGTGCTACATTTTAGTTCCTATAAAACTATGGGGGAAAAAATGAATATACAGACAAGCACCATAAAATTACTTAATACAGTTCTGACTAGTTAATGATAACAGTGTAGTAAGTCTTTAGCCAAATCTTTACAGTACGGATTTCATTTCAAGCAAATTACCTATTGATTTCTAGTAATAAAGAGAACCCATAGGCAGGCTCAGACTATTTAAAATTACAAAATCAAAATACACTACACAAATATAGTTGATTTTTTACAAATCACATTTTACATCTCAATACAGCTCCATATTTCAAATCTGAACTTAAACATCATCCACTTTCTGTCTCGCTCTCTCACATACACACCAGGTTTTTCAGTGAGCTTACACCCAGAACATTCAGCAAACAATTAAGATTCCCCGCAATAAAAGCTTAAAACAGAACTTTACCAGACTTTGGATAGGAAACCAAAAGGATGTCATCTTCTCTAGCATCAAAGGCATCCAAGGATTTTAGAAGATCTGGTGATGACCTAGTTGTAAAGGGAATCCCATTGAATCTGTGAATGAGAGCTGTCTGACTCTGGGTTGACATATTTGCTAATGTCTTGGATCTCTGTACTTCAGATAACAGCTCGGTGACCAGGGGATTTAGAAGTCACTTGTAAGTCAGATGATTTGCACTGACTAATGAAAATTTAGAATTGAAAACTGCACATTTATATACTTTGTAAAATTCTGCAGAGTCACTTCAGACCTTTACCTCATCAGAAAATTAATTATGGCAACTGTAAAATTCTACAGAAGTTATCTTGGTTAATCACACAGATACCCCAAGGCCTAATTTGCTAATGAGCATATTAGGCATATTTTGTAAGCATGTTCACTTGTCATTCTAGTTATTTTCCACTCTTAAAATACTTTGTCTCTCATTTGTTTATCTGGAAACCTTTGCAACATATAATCATAGTGAAATAGAGGGTAAGTGGCTTGTTGCTTCAATATCTAAGAATGTTTCCAGATAAGGAGTGTGTATCTTTAAAATATGCTTTTACATATCTTTTTAAAATTCGATATTCCTTTAACTTATGTGAACACAAATAATTATTTTGGTTTTTTAACATATATACAAGGGACTGAATTTTCAAAAGTGACTAAAGGGTCCCCATTTTCAGAAAGTGCTGAGCACCCACTCACAGAAAATCTCCCTTCTCAGGAGGTGTCCCAACTTAGACACCTTAAAATCATAGGGACTTGTAGAGCAATTTTCAAAATGACTTATGAAGCTATCTCTACTTATTGGCATTTCCAAGGTGCATGTCACCAAAACTGGGGAACATCAGACTCATGTTAAATATTCCCTTGAATATCACATTTCATAACACATCATGTTTCAAAATTCTATTGGGTCAAATTTAACCCCCATTGAAGTCAATGGAAGCTTTGCCATTGACTTCGGTGAATCTGATTTCATCTATTACATTTAATTACATTTTGGTTCTGTGGTGTTTGTGTACCAAGAGCTCCCTTTACAGTAGGACCTCAGAGTTATGAACACCAGAGTTACGAACTGACCAGTCAACCACACACCTCAGTTGGAACTGGAAGTACACAACCAGGCAGCAGCAGAGATGGGGGGGGGGGGAAAGACAGCAAATACAGTACAGTACTGCATTAAATGTAAACTACTAAAAAAATAAAGGGAAAGCAGCATTTTTCTTCTGCATAGTAAAGTTTCAAAGCTCTGTTAAGTCAATGTTCAGTTGTAAGCTTTTTGAAAGAACAATCATAACATTTTGTTCAGAGTTACGAACATTTCCAACTTCCATTTCCAAGGTGTTCGTAACTCTGAGGTTCTACTGTAATTTGAATGGCAGTTTTTGGTTCTCAATGAAAGTTGCACCAGGCCCCTCGTGAGTTTTATTTCTTTCCTGCGTACCCTGCCAAAGATATCTATACAATAGGTATGGAAACTGCAAGTATTTGTGATCCAATAATTGATCTTTAAATATATACTATCAACATACATAAACAACTTAGGAGCTTTAAAATATCTAACTGTGGATATCTGCCATCTGCTTAAGAAAGGTGAGTTTACCGTGGATGGAAAGCTATAGTAATGTATTGGAAATGAGCTAATTTTTGCATGGCTGTGCAATGGAATCCCATTTTCAGGCAACGAAATGGGCCATTCATAATATACATTCAAAACCGCCTGATACAAGTTTTCTGTACTTAGATAGTTGATAGAATTGTATAGTGTTTACAGAGTGGATTCCATAGTGTTTAAATGAATAGATTTGCTCCCTGGTGGATTTCATCTGTCAAACTATATATTTTTAAAAAGTGTATAAACATAAATAAACCAGTTTAGGAAAAATTGTTTGAGTTAAATTTGACAGTTTATAATTCTTTGAGTTCATTGTGAGGCTTAAGGAAATGGGGATTTACCAGGAAGAAGTTTTGTCCTTCTCTGCATGAGGACTTCTGATTTCTTTTCTCTAGGGAGACCTGGGGAAAGTTTAGTCAGCTGCCAATTCTTCTCTTCTATTCTTACCCTACACCTGCTCAAGTCCCACATGCTCTTTTCACAAAGGGAATGGGGAGGCCAGACAACATGATTCTTTGGCTGTCCTTTTGCAGGCTCCGACAGCAGTTCCATCATGCCAGGGGGGAGTGGGGAGTGTCAAAGGGCTGCCATTTTTTCCTTGTCAGAGTCTCTGCGTGAGAGGAGCCCATGCAGTTATTTATGCAATATAAAAACAATCATTTTCCAGTGCCATTATCAAGTCATGTGCAGGCTTTCTGCCTTTCTCAATTCTGCTGTATTCTAGACTGTCCAAGAAAGAACACAGTGATTATATACTACAAGAGGCCATGCAAATGTTTCAGTTTGCCACAGTATTGTGTGTGCTTTTCTTCCCCTTTTAATTCTGCAATTCTATGCCATTCTTACTAAGTGAGTAGTGACTGAGCAAAGTGGAAAAACAAAGTATTTGTTTTCAAGGTGCTAAAATGAAATCACTTAAAACATGGCTGATTAAACAGGAAGAAATTAAACTTCTAACAGAAGTGGATCAACTACTGCTGGTTGTAGTACTGAGCTGTCTCCACCATTGCCTGCAACAGGAATCCATGGCCAGTTGCCTGATACTGTTAGCATACCTCATCAACCATGATTTAAGTTTGCCCTGTGTGTAATTTTGGAAAGCGAGGCTGTTCTGTCTGCTCATTGGTTTGGTGGTTTTCAATGGCTCCATTATTCTGATGCTAGTGAGAGTGTATTTTTTGTTTCTATAACTGTGCAGCTTTTAGACAGAAGCTACTTTTACTGAAACTTTCACACAGTCTGGATTCTCTAACTGGAAAGAGGCTTGAGACAAATTTGAAAGGCACTAAGCTTCTTTGTGTCACCAGGAAGCAGTTGATATTCTTCAAAAGACCATAAGGAGCATCAGTGGCATGCTAGATTCACAGTACTCTCAGAAAAAAGACAAAAGCAGGAAGATCCTAAAGGAAATACTAAGTAGCATCTTTTCATGTGCTGTTTATATTTATACCTACGTACTGTATTTTTCACTCCATGCATCTGATGAAGTGGGTTATAGCCCACGAAAGCTTATGCCCAAATAAATGTGTTAGTCTCTAAGGTGCCACAAGGTCTCCTCGTTGGTTAAGTAGCATATGTTATCTTGCCAGACAAGGACTTATGCTGCAAGGCCATTATGCTGAGCAAGCTGAAAATATGCTCTGAAGGGGAGAGGTGGACTGCAATCCTGATATTTCAAAGTGGCTGAAAAAGGGTCAAGACAAATTCACAAGTCCAGGTTTTCAAAAATGGCATAATGGAAATAATGGGTCTTAAAATGGTGAGGGATATTTCTGAGATTTTGGATAAGTGGTACACAGTTATGGAAGATGAAGCAACAGACTTCTCCAAGAAAGAGCAAGTGGTTTTATGTTTGCAGTATGTGGATGATGAGTTAAATGGATTGTACAATATAGCCTAAACATCTCCAGAGGTAAGCATATGTAATTAAAGTTGCTGTTGCATGTAAATGTGAAGATCCACAGCTGTCCCAGACAATGCTACGATGGCGCTGTTAGTATGGGTGGCTTATATCAGGTGTAGCAACCAGATTGCCACAGGAGGAAAGATGAGCTACTATACTCGTGGCTATGAGCCTGCTTTGAATTTGGGATGCCAGGACTATTACAAATAGCACTCTCCTAAGAGACACTCTTGAAATTGTTTAGGAAATCACAAAATTAATTTAAAAATTCACCTAGATGAGATGCTATATTTTGGACATAAAACATCAAGTGTTAAGTACGTCACCATGTCCTCTGTCCAGCGAGACTGACTCTGTGCAGAAACATTGGCTTTAGTTTCTGAGAACTACCTTGCACTGGGTGCAACTTGGGAAGCTGCAAATCACATAATAAAAGACCCTATAATGAGAACTTGAATTGGTGGTGTAACAGCATACGTGGGGAAAATTAACTTCCTCTTTGGTATTGAACTAGCTCAAAAACAATCTCTTCAAAACTGTGCAGTGCTTGGACATTTCAGCAACAGAAGATTCATAGATTCAAGGATAGAAGGGACCATTGTGATCATCTAGTCTGATCTCCTGTATAAGCCAGGCCATAGAACTTCCTTGAAATAATTACTAGAGCAGATCTTTTTGGAAAAACTTCCATTATTGATTTAAAAATTGCCAGTTTAACGAAGAATTCATCACGACTCATGGTAAATTGTTCCAATGGTTAATTACCCTCATTGGTAAAAATTTGTACCTTTTTTTTCTCATCTGAATTTGTCTAGCTTCAATTTCCATCCACTGGATCATGTTATACCTTTGGGTGCTAGATTGCAGAACCCATATATTATTCAAATGTAAATTTAGTATAATTTTCATAATGTGGGAAAATAAATGAGCTTCTATTCCAAACTTGGTGCTTCCTTTTTATCAGTGCAATCCCTAACTTTTTTTTGGAGGGGGGGGGGCACGAAAGCACCCACTCCCAAGCCCCTAATTTTCTACAACCAACCATGTATAAAAGGTAAATTGTGAGGAATTAGGTAAAACAATATTCCAGTTATATCTTATCAAACTGTGGTAGGCAATTTAACTGACTACACAGAAAGTGATTGTTGTAGTACATGGTTTATTTCCAAACACAAAAGTTTAGACTGTTAGAGTAAAGCTGTAATCTATTTACAATATTTAAATAGTGTATAAATAGCAACATCAATGGTTCCCAGCCTTTTGGGGCAACGCTACCAGATTACTGACTAAGACTTCAGCTGTGCCAGCCAGCTCCTGCGTGTTCTATTTACAACCCACTTCATCTGGGTATGCTCTAATTCACAAAGGATCTTGGGCTGTTTTGAAACCCTGTCTCATAATTGCAAAACTGGGGGGTAGAAGAGCTTGAGTTGTATTGTGGTTTGGAAGGCAGAAGACTGAATGTAAGGCAGGTGGCAGTGAGTCAGAAGAAATAAACATAAAGTTTGGTGTCCTCTACATATCAGATGCTACAGCACATCCTCCTACGTTTGCTGCCAGCTCCATCAATATGAAGAAGGGG